AAATCATACTTTTGATCAAAACAGTAAATTTGTATGATACAAAGTTTGATCAAGGTAAAATGGAAATGTTTCTATTAGATAAACCTTAAAACCTTTTAGGAGTGTTTATCGCTACAACAGAAAGCAGTAATGCCGAGAATAGTTCTTCTAAATAAGCAAGTTTGATTGGCTGAAACGACCGATCGCTGTCATATTCTTGTTTGATGTAATCATTTAATATGCGTATATTTTTAGCAGAAAAGATTACATTTACTAATCCGATACATAACAAAAAGAAAAGATAAATTTCGTCCAAGTAAAGTGTGATGAGAACCGTCTACAGACTATATATATTAATCGCACTCATTAAATTTTTTTTCAATATTTATTATTCCAGTATTTCAATAATACTTTACTATATTTCAAATAAATTTTCTTGATAAAAATTAAGTCTGATACTATTAATTAGAAACATTTTTCATGATCGTTCAATAATAAATAATACGACAATATATATTTTTTTATTTTTTCTTGCCCTACATTTTTTGTTATGAACTAAAATAGATTTGTAAATTTGTGACTCATAGCGATAAAGCATTACAATAGATATGTAAATATAGTTTTTATCCGAAGTTGTCGTTAAAACATAAGTGAATTCAGCATGTATTTGAAATTATATGATTATGTTAAAAAGATTCTAATCAGAGAATATGATGAAGAATAAAGTATGGAAATGGGCGGAGCAAACGTATGTACTCCCTTGCACCGATGTCATCCAACACTCATTTTCGAATAAGTTTGACAGTATTAAACATATGTAGAACTAGCAAAAGTGTCATGTTACGAAAACGTGTTTTTTTTATCACCAAAATAAGTGTAATGGATTACATATAGCATAATTGGAGTTTTTATCAGTAAACCTATCGTGCGTTATTTCATCAGAACATTTTCTTTATTTCATTAAAAAAAATATAAAATATAAAATCATGAAATTATTAATCGTTACAATAGTGACATATCTTTTGATTATCAACATTGGACTAACCAGCAGTGCAAGAATTCTGGCTATTTTTCCAATTCCTTCTTACAGTCATCAAATAGTTTATAATTCTATTTGCAAACATTTAATTTCACGAGGTCACCAAGTTACTTTAGTTACAACCGATCCGATAACCGACACAAATTTGGAAAATTTAACTCAGATTGACGTCAGTCATAATTACAAGCAATACGAGCACTTGAACTTCATATCAATTAGATCCACGTACTCATGGTTAGATATACTTGACCATTATATATTTGAAATAGGTCACAAGTTATCCGAAAATATTTTCGATCATTCTGACTTTAAAAAGATCTATGCACCTGATAGCAATGAGAAGTTCGATCTTATCATAGTCGAAGTAATTTATACACCAGCCATTTACGCATTTGGACACAGGTTTAAAGCTCCTTTGATAGGTAAGTGAAGGAAAGTACAGGTAGCCCTCCTACAACACGGCATCCTGCAACACGGTTTCCTTTCAAAGAACCTTTGTACAACACTGTATTTCTACAGCTACGGCGAGGCTTGCCGTCTTAAAGATACAGTATTGCGGAAAGTATTTCTTTTTATCTCTATACAACACGGCATTTCTAGGAACCTATCTACCGCGTTATAGGAGGGTTACCTGTATTAGTAAATGAATAGATATAAATTTATTAAACAATAAAATAAAAGGAAAATAAATAAGTCAAAGTATTCAAAAAAAAAAGAAATCTATAAGTTATGATGTTCTTTCTTTAAATATATAATTTTTCTTAAAAAATTTAACTAGTTCAAATAATCTTTCTTTTTATCAACAATTTTAATAGTATCTATTAATCTTGATATAAATACATATTGCCGTTCATTATCACCACTTCATTATCTTTGTAGAGTAATCAGATAATGATGATGGCACTCTACAAGAATTATCAATAATTTAGCGAATCTTGATCGTTAATATTACATATTTCGATGCAATCACATAAAATAAGAATATACCTCATCACTGTCTTTCTTAGAATTGTTTTGAAGTTCAAAAGAGACAGAAAAAAATTAATTTTCTTTACGAAGTTTTTAAAATAATTCCTCTTATAATACTATAATATGATCTTAAGACTTGTTCTTATTTCTTATCGCTAAATTCTTAATAAAGATGAGAAAGGCATAAAAATTATACTTGAAAAATTAGCTAATCATTTAATATATATTTATAGGTATGATTTCGATGGGGCCTCTACAAATATCTCATTTTATGGTTGGTAATCCAGTGATACCGTCACATCCTTCATCCTACGAGATAAATAAAGACTTTGATAAAAATTTACCACTTTGGAAAAGAATACACAACTATGTCGTAATATGGTGGCACATACATGTAACTTGCTATTATAAAATGTATAAACCACAACAAGAAATTGCAGAAAAATATTTGGGTAAAATACCTTCCATTAGAGAACTAGAAAAGAACATAAGTATCCTATTTGTAAATCAGCGAGAAGAAATTTCATTTACCCGTCCCAATGTTCCTAATGTCATAAATTTTGGAGGTTTACACATAGCTAATAATATTACAAGTAAACCTTTACCAAAGGTAATTTTATGTTTGATACATAAAATACTTTACTTTTCACTAATTTTTTTATCAAAACATTCTCTTTCGATGTCAAACTTTGAAATCAGATATAATATTGATTATTTCTTTGTAGGAATTGAAAGATTTCATGGACAATGCAGTTAATGGTTTCATTTACGTTAGCCTTGGAACAAACGTAAATCCATCAACGTTTCCGAAAAAATTGATAGATACATTTTGCCAAGTTTTTTCAAATTTACCGACGAAGATTGTATGGAAATTCAAGGGAAACTGTTTAAAAAGATTAGATAATTTATATACTGCAAATTGGTTTCCACAACAAAAAATCCTGGGTAATGTATCTGCGAATCTTTATATTTATTTATTATTTTCAATGTTTATGATCCTATATATTTTGTAACTAATAATAAACATATTTTTATATTTCATGTATTATAATATGAAAATGCAGCACATCCAAATTTGAAGCTTTTCGTTTATCAAGGTGGACTTCAAAGTACAGAAGAAGCTATACACTTTGGTATACCCCTCGTTGGAATACCAGTATTAGCCGATCAAGATATGCTTGTCTTAAAAATGGTAAGTTTAGGGGTGTGCAAGAGCGTCGAAATTTTACAAATGACGAAAGAAGTTTTAAACGAAGCAATTATGGAGGTCTTACATAACAAAAGGTAAAGTTTTAATGATCATAATTTTTTTAAAGATAATATCAATTAACTAGAAACTTCAGTCATAATAAAAAACAAAATATATACTGTAATAATTTACTTTTTTTAGTTACAAAGAAAACATGTTGAAACTCAAAAATCTTATAGAAGATAAACCATTTGACACAATGGGTAATGTCATTTGGTGGATTGAGTATGTTATCCGTCATAAAGGAGCAAGTCATCTCCGTTCTAGCATCGTAGATGAACCATGGTATCAACGATACGATACTGATGTTATCGCTTTTTTATCTGTTACTTTGTTTATAATTACCATCCCTAGTCTATATATTGCTTTTAAATTATTTGTAATTATTATGAAATGTTACGCAACTTTATTGTCCAAAGAAAAAAAGAAAAAGAAATTAAGTTAGTTAATAATCGAAACCGTGAAATAAATGTTATTTAAATAAATTTCTAAATTATTCTAGATAAGACAAAAAAAAAAGATTTATGACTAGATAATATTATAGTGCAAGAATAAATTAATATACGTATAGGATTATATCAGTCATTTTCACCAGTCATCTTTTACTCTATAAAATGTCATTTTTATTATAATTTATCTCATAAAAATACTGCGATAAATCTTATGCAAGCGCTAATGTTTATCTTTCGTAAAACGATCTTGTGTGAATCAAAGTAAAATGAAAATGAAATTTAAACAAATTTTACCTTCTTCTTGGTATAGGTAAAAATATAGAAATTATTGAAAATGGTATATTGTATTAGGTCGTCCCGAAAATTTCTTCCTTTTCTTGATGATAAGTTGCACAATATTGTATGCGTAATATTTTTTATGTTATTGTACTAAATAATATCGATTCTACTCTATATTACCTTTTTCTTCACTGTATATTATTCAGAAAAAAACTAGAAGAAACTTTTGGGACGACCTAATATATTTATTATAATCCTGACCACAGTATTCCGACATTTTCTCTGTGCGAATATAAGAAGAGTCTCCAATTAAAAATGTCTGTCATTCTAAAAGAGTATTCACAGAATTATCTTATCGTTAATTACCTTAACATTAATTACCTTATTTCTTATTTATATATAATTATATAATTATATATAAATTATATATTATATAATTATCTTATATTAATATTAGCATTAATTACATTATTTTCAGAAAAAATATCTGTAGAGATATTTGAAGTCAAGGGGACATATTCTCCAGTGCGGTATATATTTATTTTTGATATTTATAATTGCCAATCATTACGTAATTATATAATTTCATTTTCAATAGTATTTTTAGCATTAAATAATTTCATTAGACACATATATAATGCAAAGAAATACGCTGATAAGAATACGTTATACAAATTTATGCTGTATCTTTTTTGTTATCGATTTAGAACTATCACGTTGTTTTTTTATTTCATGTATGTATATCGAATTAATAGACATTAATCTTTTTTTACCAAAGTAGCAAATTCGTTCGTTATAAAATTAGGACTGAGAAAAATGAAGCAGCGGCTACATGTTTCAACCAATTAAACCTGCATCCTCTTAAGGACGTACTTTGCTGAAACTTACAGCAACCATATCGAGAATAGGTCTACTAACTAAACGATATTTAATTATTTAAATAGGAACAACCTACTGCTGTCCTATTCTTGTTTGATATAACCATATATTGTAAGTATTTACCTCACTTACAAAAAAGATTACATGTACAAATCTGATGCGTAACAAAGAAAGAAAACAACCCTCTCACAGAATATGATGAGAACCAAATATATTCAAATAGCCAAGTATATTCATTCCCCTTATTGAATTTTTTCAAATTTGAAACCATTAATTAAGTTAAAAACCGTAATTTAAGAACAATTTTCCTTATTGTTCATAAATAGATGATACGGAAATACATATTACTTATCAATTTTTGAAAAAGTAAATATTTTTAGCAAAAAAGTGATTCATAACGATAATGTATTTTTACATAGTCACCCTTATTTTGTTGAACCCACAGTTGACCGAAAAACATTAATTTTGAGTCTGGGAACTATACAAGTATCAAATATACAGATAAGCAGAGATAGCATATCTATTTTATTGTATAAATCATTCAATAGTCCTTTTCACATCAGTCTGACTGTTGCTTACGTATATAAAGCATCAAAAACGCGATGTATTCAGAATGGATATTATATTGAGGATATAAGTGGGATAGATTGAATATAATTACAATAGATTGAATATAAGTATAATAGATTGGGTATAAAATTATAATAGTTCCTATCCGTTGGTCTGTCGTGTACTATTTAAATCGAGCTTATAGTTTTTTTCTAGTATTCTCCTGAGTGCGGTGCTGTGAGATAGTTTAAAAGTCGGTAGAAAATATATAATCATGAAACTATTAATCGTTACAGTAATAACATGTCTTTTGACTATCAACATTGGAATTACCAACAGTGCAAGAATTTTGGCTGTCTTTCCAATTCCTTCTTACAGTCATCAAATAGTTTATACCTCTATCTGTAGAAATTTAAACTTACGAGGTCACCAAGTTACTTTAGTTACTCCCAATCCGATAAGCGATACAAATTTGACAAATTTAACCCAGATTGACATCAGTTATAGTTACAAGCTATTAACAAATATCAACTTCTTAGAAGCTAGACCTGTGTACTCATGGAACGATTTACTTAATCTTTATTTATTTGATATGGGACGAAATTTCTCTGAGAATGTTTTTAAACATCCTGACTTTAAGAAAATCTACGCACCTGATAGCAATGAGAAGTTCGATGTTATTCTCGTCGAAGCCATAATGACGCCAGCAATTTATGGGTTTGGACACAGATTCAAAGCTCCTTTGATAGGTAAGTAATGAATATATCCAAATTACAAACAATTACAAACAATTAAATGTGAATTAATTAAACAATAAAAATGAAGAAAAATAAATAAATTAAAGTATTAACAAGAAAAAAATTTACGAAATATAATTTTATTTCTTTAAATAAATCATTTTCTGTAATAATTTTCCTGATTTAAACAATTATCTCTTTATCAAAAATTAAAAGATATCTATTAATCTCCACATAAATGTTTCCATGTTATCTTAATAAATGATAAGAATTTAATTTCTCATAAATATTTTTTTAATCATTTTGTAATTGAAAAGAGATAGGGTAAGATTAGTTTTCTTTGAGAAGTTTGTGATATGATTCCTCTTACAATATTTATAATATGATCTTAAGCCTTATTCATATTTTTTATCTTCTAATTTGTAATTACGTTAAAAAAAAAAAACCATAAAAATTATTTCTATTCCATACCTTTGTTTCATTTTATATCTTCAGGGTTTTGATATTTGATTAATATATTTACAGGTATGCATTCATTAGGGCTTGACGTACATTCTCATTTTATCTTTGGAAATCCAGTGATACCGTCACATCCTTCGACCTATCAGTTTAAAAAAGACATTGGTTTCAATTTATCGTTTTGGGAAAGAGTACACATTTATGTCTTATCATGGTGGCATATGCATGTTACTTGCAATAATAAAGTTTATAAACCGCAACAAGAAATTGCAGAAAAATATTTAGGTAAAATACCTTCCGTCAAAGAATTAGAAAAGAACATAAGTATCCTATTTGTAAATCAGCGAGAAGAAATTTCATTTACCCGGCCCAACGTTCCTAATATTATAAATATTGGTGGTTTACACGTAAAAAATGACATTCTAAATAACCCTTTACCAAAGGTGATTTTTTGTTTGATACTTGAAATACTTTACTTTTCACTACTTTTGTATGAAAACTTTTTCTTTTATCGTAAAACTTAGAAATCAAATGTAGTATTGATTATTTCTTTGTAGGAATTGAAAGATTTCATAGACAATGCAGTTAATGGTTTCATTTACGTTAGCCTTGGAACAAACGTAAATCCATCAAAATTTACGAAAAAAATAGTAGATACATTTTGTCATGTTTTTTCAAATTTACCGACAAATGTTGTATGGAAATTCAATGGAAATTGTTCAAAAAGATTAGATAATTTATACACTGCAAATTGGTTTCCACAACAAAAAATCCTGGGTAATGTATCTGGGAATATTTATATTTCTTTATTATTTTCAATGTTTATAAGCTTATATATTTTGTAACTAATAATAAACATATTTTTATATTTCATGTATTATAATATGAAAATGCAGCACATCCAAATTTGAAGCTTTTCGTTTATCAAGGTGGACTTCAAAGTACAGAAGAAGCTATACACTTTGGTATACCCCTCGTTGGAATACCAGTATTAGCCGATCAAGATATGCTTGTCTTAAAAATGGTAAGTTTAGGGGTGTGCAAGAGCGTCGAAATTTTACAAATGACGAAAGAAGTTTTAAACGAAGCAATTATGGAGGTCTTACATAACAAAAGGTAAAGTTTTAATGATCATAATTTTTTTAAAGATAATATCAATTAACTAGAAACTTCAGTCATAGTAAAAAACAAAATATATACTGTAATAATTTGCTTTTTTTAGTTACAAAGAAAACATGTTGAAACTCAAAAATCTTATAGAAGATAAACCATTTGACACAATGGATAATGTCATTTGGTGGATTGAGTATGTTATCCGTCATAAAGGAGCAAGTCATCTTCGTTCTAGCATCGTAGATGAACCATGGTATCAACGATACGATACTGATGTTATCGCTTTTTTATCTGTTACATTGTTTATAATTACCGTGCTTAGTCTATACATTGCTTTTAAATTATTTGTAATTATTATGAAATGTTACGCAACTTTATTGTCCAAAGAAAAAAAGAAAAAGAAATTAAGCTAATTTGTAATCGTAATCGAAAACTAAAATATATTTAAATTAATTTTTTAAAACTTTTTAGATAAGATAACAAAAAAAGAGTACATAAGTAGATAAGATTATAGCGAAAAAAAAACTAACATATGTATAGATTGTATCAGTAATTTTCACCAGTCACCTTTTACTCTATTAGAAGTCATTTTTATGTAAATACATTTAAAAAAAATATTTATATCTGAATGAAACGCTTAATTTATTTATCCGTAAAATGATCTTGAATCAAAATAAAATGAAAGTAAATGCGTTTGATTTTTATCATAATTTACGATCTATCACTGACTCTAAAACTAATTAGAAGACTTCTTTGCAAACAGTTATTGCAAATACAAAAGTTTCACACATTATTTTAATCGCGAAAAATTTTGTCTTCCTTGGTCTTCACTGATACACTGATTCTATTGCGAGAACAGTTTCTGAGACTTTTTTAAAATAAAAATATAACTTTACACGAACAAATTATAATGCAATTATTGCCTTGCTAGAAGTTAATTTAGTTTTTTATCGTGACCGTAAAACCGACGTCACTGCACGTAAAAAAATAATGTTAAGCGGTCTTTAGCTAGATTTCACTTGCCATGGAATGTAAAACATATAAAAATATGTTAAACATTACACGGAAAGTAATATCCATTGCCCGGGTCTAACCACGAGGAGGTAACCGCTTCTGAAGACCCAAGAGGGATGTGCATCATAAAGATGCTCACATCCGAATATAATTTAAAGGAATCAATCTAACTCTTAGGCCCCACCATAAGATATAATACTAAAAATGCAATGCATTTTTTTGCAATATATTATTAGTATTTAATTTAAACTGAATTATATCAAACATTTCAAAGACTAAATCGCGATAGTGCAAAGTGTTAAACCTGTTATACTTAAAACTAAGTATCAAATTCATCAAAGATTTTGCGAATGTAATTTCGATTATATCTCGTTCGAGATAGAATCGAAGTAAAAATAAATCTTTCAAATGGTTGCAAATACCTTTGAATCATGATACACATTAAAAATGATAGAATTGTCACAAAATAAATTTACGAGTTAAGCATGATAGAATAAAAAGATAAAATTTTGTGACAATTCTAAATAAAAAAACCCGAAGATGGGACTTGTACTATTAAAGTGCAAGTGTACCATGTGCTTTTCCGGGGTCCTACCTACTTAAAATTAAAGTTTAACATTCACTCAGTAAAAAACACATGCATACCCACCCAYTCACTCCACGGTTCTCACACAYWCCACCAGGGTGCAAAAGCCTACACTAGAGAGCATGCCCCGGGGCACCTCCGTCACCCTAGTTCAACCGCGTATTTCTAAACTTAAATTTTAAAAAGGTTACGTACCAGTTGCTGTAATCGTCTGTCAAGGCTAGTGATTATTGCAAATAAAACTACTGCAAAAATACAAGTATACACTAGTATATGTGCATACTAGTTATATACGTGTATATTTCCACAAATAAATGTGGGTGACTCTACTATGCAAAACGATTATTAAAAAAAAAAAAATTCGTATCGTACGCGTGACTCTACAAGTTATTTTTATTTTAATAACTTTTTCAAAAATAAGCGGTATTACACGTATCCCGAACGATGTACAATGCACCACCTACTACGCACACACAGGTGCACTGTACACCGTGCAATCACTAGCACAATGACAGCCGCCAAAGGAAAACTTAAAAACTATAACCTATGCAATCTTTTTCTCACCCATACGTGTAACACCTGGGTAACACGCATAGATGAGAACGAAGCGTGCATAGGGGGGAGAAAAGGGGGCATTAGTATATTAGTTACTGAAAATCCTAATCTAAAAATTGATTAATACAATAAAATATTCTCAAATAAATCTAAGCGGGCTATGACTCTACAAGTCTTTAAGACTTTCAAAAAAAAGATATTAAAAATTGAAAATAATTAAAAAACCTCGGACGAATCCTTTGATTAAGTTGGCTGTTCTAATTAAAGAACTGGGCTTTTTACAGCCGCCACTTAATTGCCAGAGTCTATCCGTTCGCGAAAGGGGTTTGTCTTCTTGCTCATTATTTATAATATCGAAATTAATCGCGATTAAATAAACTAAGTACGAAGCAATGCATGTAAGACA